TGCTGCTGCTGCTGCTGCAAGGAGACGATCCAGCCGGGAGTATGGGGTCGCCACAGCGGACGGTAGCTGAGACGAAGGCGCATGCCTCCAGCATTTGCCTGTAAGCCTCTGCAGGTGTAGCAGCAGCAGCACCGGCAGCAGCAGCAGGTGCAGCAGCAGGTGCAGCAGCAATATGCAAACGCAGTGGGAGGAGACCGAAAGCAAGCGGGAAGGCGGAGACAGCAGCGGCAGCAGGCAGCAGCTGTCTCCTTAGCGGCAGGCCTTCTGCTGCTCTTTGTCTCTCCCTAAAGTGCTGCTGCTGGAAGCTGTTTTCTGCTGCGTCGCCCCAGCTTGCTGCTGCTGCTGCTGCAGTTGCTGCAGCAGCAAAGAAGGCCTTCAAGGAGACAACGCGGAGACAGTTTCTGCTGTCTCCAATCACCAGGTGCAGCGAATCTCGGCTCACCCGCACAGACAGCAGCAGCACAGGCAGCTCTCTAGCCCGAGCTCTTGCTGCAGCTGCGCACCTGCANTCACCCGCACAGACAGCAGCAGCACAGGCAGCTCTCTAGCCCGAGCTCTTGCTGCAGCTGCGCACCTGCAGCAGCACCTGCAGCTGCTGTAGCAGCTGCTGCTGCTGTTGCTGCTGCTGTCGCAGTCGTTGCTGCTTTGGCATCGACTGTCAGCCAGGCTTTCTTTGCTGCTGCACTGCTGCTGCTGCTGCTGTTGCTGCTGCTGCTGCGGGGGATCGTAGAGGGGCAGCTCCAGTGCATGCACAGCCACACCTGCGGATACACCCCAAATGAGAATCTGCTGCAGCGGCGGTGCTGTTATTGCGTAGAGGTAAGAGCAGCAGCAGCACACATCAACGAAGCGCTGAAGCGGCAGCTGTTTTCTCTTGCTGGCGCTGCTGCTCCTGCTGCTGCTGTTGCTGTTGCTCGGCTGAGGCAAGGAGACAGGCAGCTGCAGCATGAAGCGACGCATGAGAGAGACACCAGCAGCACCGAGCTGAAGGCGGATACAAACGGCATCATTCAGCAGCAGCAGCAAATCGCTCCGCCCGCTCACAAGAAGCCTCCAACGGTCGCTGTTGCTGCTGCTGCTGCTGCTGCTGCTGCTGCTTGAGTGTGCTGCCGTTTTTCGCGTCGCCTCCCGCTGCTGCTGCTGCTGCAGTGGAGATGCAGATGGATCCGCAAGGGCCTTGAGGGCGCACAGTGAAAGAGAATACAACAAGATGCAGTTGCAGCAGCAGCTGCTGCTGCTGCTGCCGCTGCTGCTGCCAGAGTGCTGCTTATCTAATTCCCACTCAAGCAGCAGCAAACTGTCCCCTTGAGCATCCGATGCCTCTACAAAAGCTGTCCCTTGCCAGTATCTACTGCTGCTGTTGCTGTTGCTGCTGCTGTCGTTGCTGCTGCTGTTGTTGCTGCTGCTGTTGTTGTTGTTGCTGCTGCTGCTGCTGCATGAGTCGTCGTTGCTGTGCTTCAGCTGTAGTGCTCGCCAGGGCAGAAGAGGAGCATCAGGTGTACAGACACCGCGAAACACAAACAGCTGCAAGGAATCTCGGCCGAGACAGCACAATACTTGCGTTCGCTGCTGCTGCTGTTCCTGCTGCAGCAGCTGCTGCTGCTGCTGTGGCAGGTGAATGGGGGGCAGCTCGGCCCAAACAGCAGCAGCGCAAGCACGCATCAAAACCCCCTTCTTTGTGTTCCGCTTCCTGCTGCTGCTGCTGCTGCTGTTGCTGCTGGCGTCGTCTGTCTGCTGCGCTGCCGCCTGTCCCCCCGGCAGCAGCCGCACCCCCCGCCACCGGAACCCTTTTGCTGCTGCTGCTGCAACAGCAGCAGCAGGGGAAGACCCCGCAGCAGCAGCAGCAGCAGCCGCACCAGGCGGAGCAGCAGCAACAAAGCAACGCAGCCGTCCATATCCAGTAGAAGCTGAAGCGCTACGCAGCTCTTGCTGCTGCGGCTTCTGCTTCTGCTGCTGTTGTTGCTGCTGCTGCTGGCTAGGTCCGTTTTGCGCATTGCTGCTGCTGCAGCTGCTGCAGCAGCAGCTGCTGCTGCAGCAGCAGCAGCTGCTGCTGCTGCTGCTC